TTGAGAACAGTCGCCAATTACTTCTCAATCCATTCAATTGATGGCTGTGTTGCGTTTACCTGCTGCAGCAAAACAGCGACTAGTATAGATTCGGAATTGTGCCGCCCTGTAAATGGCAATTCCTGCCCAATCCTCGATATTGGAAAATGGGGATCTAAGATGGATAGGTTTCTTTACTGTTTATGCGAGCCGCCGGTTCGGCCTGGGCAGCGAGATGAAATTGAAAACTGAGCTGGACATACACGGGCGCACGTGTGTAGGTGTAGAATTTAATTCAGTCGCAAGGGAAATTGGAAAAAACCCTGACCCTTTTACGCTCGGATCTACGGTATTATTGGCCATATTAAAATGGGAACTTTCATATTTATTGCGAAAAGAAATTAGATCCCCGAGCCCGCCTTTCGGAACACTGCTATTAAATCAGCCGACATTTTCTAATTATCATACCTTTCCATCAACATCGTCAATATCGCCCAAGATTTTTTGGTAAATTAATGCGGTAACGTCTATGATTTATCCGGTCTGATATCTTCCTGGCAAATCAATCGAAAGTTAATTTACAGCGGCAGAATCGCGGGGCTAATTGAAAATACATCCCACTTCTGACCAAAACATGGCGAAGTTCATTTCAGAAGTTTGCAACATCAATTAAACAACTAATGAGCTAATTAAACGGGTATTCAGTGTAATAATGCCCCGGAGATTATTATTAACTGAATACACGACTAATTACTGCTTCCCGAAGCAAAAGAGTTATTTAATTAATGCGATATTCAAGGAAAATTCGCCAATTATTAGAGCGCGTCTTGCTTCTTCGTCGGGGAGTCAACATTTTCGGGATTTACAAATAATAATTGAAAATGTATAACGTTTGTAGTTTTTGCGTCATTAGACAGTTATTGGACGGCCAATAAGTTCATGCAGTAATACAGTTTGCGCTATTTTGACACATACGCCTGCGCAAATCAGTCTAAAAAATAACTACTGTTCTGCAGTATTTGTGCCCCGATACTGCAGGTTTTATTTTATACCTTAAACTGGCAGTTGACATTTCTGACGTTCGCTTGCA